GATTAAAAAACATCCAGAGCATCAACCGAAGCTGTAAAAGATCCATTATAACAAAATAATATTGAGAAATAAGAAAACGATAAAATACTGATGTCCTTACGTCAACTGGATTACTTAGAAAACCGACTCTTAAATTGTGCGAATGCTTTAAACGCCTAACAGTATTATAAGCAAGCTCTCTTCCTTCAGCATCTTCAAAATCAGCAACCACCCAAACAGAGACATAACGAGTCCGAGGTTCGTCTAAAACTTCAAAATTAAGAAACTGAAAAAACAACAATCAAAGGAAATTTGAACAGACTCCTACCTCCTCTATGAAGGTAACGTATTCTCTCCAAAATACATTGGTTATGCTCAGCCTGTGGAAGTCTGTGAAAGTCTGCAGGGTTTTTAAATGGACACTTCTGCTTATTAGTGAGGTCCAGAAATACAACGTTTGGCGATGACGGAGTGTCGAGAATCCGCCTATTGATACGGGGCATGACTTCAGGCTAAAAACCATAAAAAATAAAAATCAAGTTTAAATTAGAGTCTGTGAAGAGAGTCTTATTATCTAAAAAAAGTCAAAAAGTTTTTCAAATAATTGCATTTTTAAAAAATTCCTTCACCTGTGAGAGTATCCAGTTCATTACATTGTCACGATCTTTCAATTTGCCACTTATGATGGCCTTTTGTATCCGAGGTGTAATTTTCATTACTGCTGTAATAACAGTTTCCTCAAATCGGTCAGCACTCAACTGAAATAAAGAAAGTTCAACAGGAACACCTCATTAAAATTTGATATCTGTATAAAACTCTCTTAATTCACCCCTTCCCCCCCTTCCCCATTCCTTAATCGCTGATATAATAAGAAAAAAATATTAAATCCAGGAAATGAATTAATGCATTTTAAGTGTAATTCTTACTCCAGCATCATCCAAAGGCATTCCGTTAAGTAAAACTTTCGGTGCATTGTTGAGACCACTAGTTTGAAGAAATGATTGTCCGGCTGACTTCCCACCGTTATACGGAGAATTGGAACCAAATACTTCATTAAGGTCTTGATCAGGATACATCTCAGAAAATGTGTCTAAGACATATTTTGGAGAGAAGACTTCCTGTTCCTTATTATCATCAAGTACCTAAAATTGCCTCAAAAATAGGTGTAATGAGGAAAAACACGCATCTAACATCTATTTAGCAAAGAAAAACCTGTTTCAAGATTTTAAAACCCTGCAGAGTCCCAGACTCCTCCTTCACATAGTTATATAAATTTAGCATAGCTACAGAAAAATCGTCAAATCCAGAAACCGATTCATCGTCGTTGGCTATAAATACAGCACCTATCCTAAAAAGACATTTATGTCATAGCTACAATAAAAAAAACTGAAGTATCATCAGGACAACATCGCTTTAACTCTAATTAAAGTAAAAAAAAAAACAACAAAAAAATAGCCCACCTTATCGGAATTTCATGATTGTAAAACGAGATTGCAAATTTCAATAAATTATATGTTTCTTTTGCGGAAAGATCCAGTATAAAGATCTAAATTACAAACTTCAAAAAAAGAATAAAGATTGGTAAGAGTTTTAGCAAGAGTAGGAATATCCATAACTCTCAAACTGATTTAAAGCAACAAACCAAGGTGAAAAAATTTCGGGCAATAGGTCGAATCATCCCTGGAAAGTAAGGCTGTAGCATGAGCTTTACACTATTCCCCCACTGTCGGTATTGTTTGTCGGTATCTAAGTTGTTCAGGTACTAAAATGTTATGCGATCTCTAACAATCGAATAAGCAGCAATATTTTTTACTGACAGTTTCTCGTGGAGTTACTGTTTACGAAAATCTAAGCGACGAACTACAAAAAGAATTTTCTGTAAAATCACACTTCTGGTTTTGCACTCCGAAAGTCCAAAGCATACGAAGCAGAGTCATCAACAACATCCATACTAGTGAGTAATGAAATATATTCCCGCTAAAAGTAACAAAAAATTAAATGTTAAATTTAGTGGCGCGCGTCAGAAACCATTAAAGCAAATAATAAACAGAGAAAAACCTCTTCTTAAAAATAAAAAAATTCCGGTATAACGCACATTAACACCTATTTTAAAAAACCCATCAGCAAGCTTTTCTTCCTGTTTTAAAAGATCCAGCAAATAAAATACATCAAGGGAATCGATGTCTATATGTATGCCATTGATAAACAAAGCGTTCTCACCAGGACTAAGTCCAAGTTCTGAGAGTGAAATTTCCTGATTAGACTCTACCTAAAAAATAAAAAGCGTAGATAAGCCATTGATTACCTAAGTGTGCCACATAAATCCAAGACTGAGGTTATTCACTCTCTTCTTAACCGAATACCTTCATAATTAACTTACTTCATTTCTGAATTCTTTCTTTACCACTTGTCTTGATAACGACCGGGCTAGAAGAGGGAAGTTTTGACTTGTCTCAGCAAGGATACCAAGAGCTTTCTCTGGAGGAGACAGAACAATCTTTTGAGCAGCTTGAAACCCGAGATCCTGGACTTGCCAAAGTTTTAGAGGAGTTAATTCATCCTTTTCTAAAAGATGCAACCGGAACTGGTCCAAATGGTCTCTGCTATCCTTGTGAAGTTTGCTGAAAACAATTACCTGGTTTTCTAAAATGTTGTTTAAAAGAATTTTTGCACAGCAAATAAGGGGGAGAACTGAAAGTCACAAATGTAATTGAACGGAGTTCTCTCTCCTCATTCCCACAAAGACAAACCAGCAGGAATATACGTGTCCCTCACCCTTTCATCTCTTTCTCGTTATTAACCACCATTTTCAAAACTCTGGTAAAGCTTAAAATGAGTACCAATTTCCAAGTGCGACTGCGAAGTTCTTATCTCTTAGTGTTGAATTAGTAGCGCAGAAAATAGCTGACTTTTTTTACATACCAACGATAAAGAAAAACTAGAAGAATTAACATTGAGTAACTATTACTAACAGATAAAAACCGGTTATTTAAAAAGAACCATCGAACGATACTTATAAAAACTACTTATACAGCACTGTAAATAATCCCGTTTGTCAAAAGTATCTAGTACGTCCAATCACAAGTATGTCATTCCTTTATTCCCCATAATGACAAGATTTTTCCCGAAAGGTATCCCAAATCTTAATCGTTACTAAAGATGGCAATGGATCTTCACATTCAATTAAGAGAACAAGAGAATACTTAAGCTTGCTAAATATTGAAAAGTATTTCCTAACATCGCTTCCTTTCGAAATTAGGAAAGAGTAAAACTTTTAAAGATTTTTTCTATTCCAATTCTACCTTTCTTACGAATCCTCATTAAACCTCTAAAAACCTCGATTTTCCCTTCAATTTAATCCTTAACGCTAGGTAAATTAGCGATCTTTGACTTAATAGGCAAACTTTTTTACACCCAAAAAATTTCATAATTTAAGGAACATTATTGTTGTTACGGCAAAAATTCAGTTTAGAACAAGAAATACCGCAGTATATTGAAATTGAAACCACAAATATCTTCGTAATCAGCAATGTCTGCTTCTCCTTCTGAATCGGTCTTATTTTTTTCTGAAAGAGACATTTTTTCACAGAAAGTGCATGATTTAGAAATCAAAATTAGAAGGATAGATGGACAGGAATAAGGGACTTACTAAACTTATCGTAGTGGAACTCTTACCTGCAACACTACTATCATCCATCGCTTTGTACTCCGTACTCTTTATTGCTAATTCAACACCATAACCTGAGAGTAAAACTTTATCATCTCCAGGATCCTGAAAGATGAGAAAGTACAAAAGGCGAATACAGCAATACAAACCTTAAATCTCACAATAATAAACAACAATCACGACTTTGGAATTGCCAAAAACTGAAATGCTTTCATTGCTGAAATGGCAACCTTTATCCAGTGTCGAAAAACGTATTTTGCCTTGCCGTTACGAGCAAGTGTTTTTGCAGTATTATGCATACTAAGCCACGAACGGGTTCCAAGTTCGCCGTAAACTATAACAGGAACCTCACTATCCTCTGATAAAGGGAACACATGATCCAGAGAATACAGAGTAGAAGCCGTTTCCCTAGATTCATAGGTTTGAATGAAAAAGGATGTACCTTAAACAATAAAAGATACTCTCTGAATATTACCCTTCCGTGACGTTCTCTACAAGTCGGTAAAGTTCTTCAGGCGTACAAGCCAACTTCCCAAAGACTTCAGCATATGATTCGCAAGTAACTCCCTGACTTTCAGAACCCAGCTAAAGGAGAAGACAGTGAAGAATGAGAATACTGTAAGTGAGATTTTGCTGTAGTATTTAAAATTCATTACTTGTTGGAAAAGCTGAACTGTGGGAGAATGAACTCTTATTGAAAGCGCAAATTTTAGGAGATCTGTTCGGCTGTCACCCAAATATGAGTTTGCAAGACGTATAGCAATATTATGCTGCTTTTCCTGACTTACTGAAGTTAAAGAATATTGGAGCAAAAAGCAAAAAAAAAATATACATATTGTAACACAAAAAATCTTACAAGAATTCCAGTCGTCAACGTCAACTTTCTCGGCAACAAGATTAACGTAATTCCAAAACATGATGTTACTCTCCTTCGCCATAAATTCGCTAAAATAAGA